CCTTTCTTTTTAAAGATAGCTGCAGATTTTATTGCTCCACCTCTCACTACTCTTTTTAACCTCTCCCTCAGCACAAACACAATTCCAAAATTGTGGAAGTCAGCGTATGTCCTACCTTTGCTGAAAGGAGGGGAGGCAACTGTTTTAAATAACTATAGGCCCATCTCGAAATTATCAGTTCTGGCTAAGGTTCTTGAACGCCTAGTGAGTGAGCAGGTAAAGGTGTTTTTATGTACAAATGACATCCTGTCTAAACATCAGTCAGGCTTCAGAAAGCAACATAGCACCATCACTGCCACAATGAAAGTGGTGAATGATGTGGCGAGTATTTTAGATAAAAAGCAGAGTTGTGCAGCTCTATTTATTGACCTTTCCAAAGCGTTTGATACCGTCGATCATTGCATCTTAAAGCAGAGGCTACTCAGTATTGGCATATCCAGCCATGCAGTGGGGTGGTTTGTGAACTACCTCTCTGAAAGGTCCCAATGTGTTCATTTTGATGGGCTGTCTTCTGAGTGGTTAAACATTACTAATGGTGTTCCTCAAGGTTCTGTTTTAGGTCCACTTTTATTCTCCATCTACATCAATAGTTTAGGTGAAAATGTCGATGGAGCAACCTTACATTTTTATGCGGACGATACCGTTATGTACTGTGCAGGTCCCTCCATTAAGGAGGCTGGTGTTGAATTGCAAGCTGCTTTTAACATTATTCAGACTCAGCTCTCAGTGCTTAAGCTTCTTTTAAATGTGGATAAAACCAAGGTAATGCTCTTTTCAAAAGCTAAAAAGACACCAGAGCCTGTTTTAGATATTTTAACTACGCAAGGAATAAAACTTGAAGTGGTTGCCTGTTACAAATACCTTGGTATCTGGCTTGATGATTGTCTCACTTTTAAATGTCATGTCAATAACCTGCTTAAAAAACTGAGGGTTAGGCTAGGTTTCTTTTACAGGAACAAGTCCTGTTTCTCGCTCGAGGCCAGAAAAAGGCTAGTCACTGTGACCTTTTCACCTGTGCTGGACTATGGTGATTTGATTTATATGAATGCACCTGCCAATTGCCTGGTCAAGTTAGATGCTGCGTATCACAGTGCACTGAGATTTGTGACAAACTGTAAAGCATTAACCCATCACTGTACCCTGTATGCAAGGGCTGGTCTGCCTTCACTAACTGCACGGAGGCTCAGTCGCTGGTACATTTTTAAATATAAAGCCATGTTAGGGAAACTTCCATCCTACATCTGCTCCCTGATCTCACGGCGAATTGTAAGTGGCTACTGCATGAGATTGCATGCTATGGTTTTATTAAATGTGCCAACTGCTAGGACTGTCTTAGGGAAGATAGCATTTAGATGCGCAGCTCCACTGTCCTGGAATAGTCTGCAATTAAAATGGAAACAGAGCAATCTGGTGCCACTCAATGTTTTTAAAGCTCGGTTGGATGCTACTCAATCGGAAGCTGTTGGTACCTGTGCATGTGGATAGTTATGTAAATTGTAATCCCTGTAATGCTAATGTATGATGTCCTTTTGTTGTTCTGTTTATGTTTTTAATGTTCATGTGGAACCTACTTGAGCAGGTCTCCCTTGAAAAAGAGGTCAATGATCTCAATGGGATACAACCTGGATAAATAAAGGTTTGAAATGACATGCACACAGTAAAGCATAACTACACCACCATGCCCGAGCCACTAAGCTGCGCAGGGAGGTTAGTACAGGGAGATTGTGGCTAGAATGTGGGCATATACAGTATATTGATGTGTATATTGTGAATTTGTGTTGCAATGTACTGTGTTGTATGTAACAACTCTAAAAATACTAATCATTTATAAATATTTTAGTTTTTTACATAATGTGGATTTATTTTTTGTATTTCATAAAAGGCAATAGTTTAACTGATGTATACATACTTAACCATTTGTTGAATTGAGAAATGTGAAACTTATGATTTATTGGACCATTGAATCAATTCAGGAAAGTTATTGTGAATATTGGATATATATCTAATCATGTTTTGGGTTTTTGACAGATGAAATTCCCATAAAGCCTACAGAGATGCTATTAGTTATTATCCAGACCATATCTTTGAATTTCAGTCATCTTGTAGTCTATCACGTATTATTTTAAAATCTTAAAGTTTTAACATTAACACCGATGACTTGGTGCAGCATCAACTCCCAGGGACTGCGCTTCTCACGTGCAATGGTCTTCGCCATCGAGCAGATTAACAACAGCACGGAGCTACTTCCGAGCATCAAGCTTGGTTATGAGATCTATGACTCATGTGACTCGGTGTCCGTGGCGGTGCATGTTGCATTTCAGCTTTCAGGAGGACTAGACCCGGTGTTTAACACCCGCGACAAATGCTCAAAGTCTGGTATGGTGATGGCCATTGTTGGTGCGTCTGGGTCCACGTCTACCATCAGTATGTCGCGGATCATCGGGCCCTTCAACATACCTCAAGTAAATATTAAGAATTTATTGCAAACTGTGTTTGAGTCCATTACTTGTTTTGCCTCTGTCCCGTTAAATAACTGTTGTTTTCTTAGGTGAGCTACTTTGCCACGTGTGCATGCCTGTCTGATAAGCAGCAGTACCCGAGTTTCTTCAGAACAATCCCGAGTGATCAATTCCAGGCTGACGCGCTGGCCAAGCTGGTAAAACACTTTGGCTAGACTTGGATAGGTGCTGTCCGGTCGGATTCTGACTATGGCAACAATGGCATGGCATCTTTCCTGCATGCAGCACGTAAAGAGGGGATCTGTGTGGAATACTCCGAGTCTTTCTCTCGGACCCACCCACGTAGCCGGATCCAGAGAGTAGCTGACGTTATCCGCAGGTTTCTATATCACTTATTCTCCTTTTGTTCACTGTGCTGACACTGACCTTCTGCACAGAAAAACCAAAACAAGTTATTTAAGTGATGGAACATGTTTTTACTACAACAGGAAATGTGCCAATATATCTGTTTATCATCTCTCATGTTTTGTTTTTCTTCATACTTATGATAATATTGTTATAAAAGACAATATTAGTCTTATATTATAACTATTGTTTTTATATGTCATTGAACGTCCCTCCAGGTCAACGGCTAAGGTTGTTGTGACATTTATTTCCACTGGAGATATGAGGATTCTGCTGGAGGAGCTGTCACGTAAGCCTTCCCCACCTCGCCAGTGGATAGGTAGTGAGGCCTGGGTAACCGAACGAGACATGCTGAGGTTCCGCTTCCTTGCTGGAGCCATCGGATTTGGCATTGAAAAATCTGTCATCCCAGGTCTGAGGGACTTCTTGCTGGATCTCTCTCCGTCTAAAGTGGCTGACTCCCCATTGCTTACCATGTTCTGGGAGGAAGCATTCAACTGCAGGCTGGTAAAAAGTGAGAAAGTTGTGCCAATTTTAAACATACATGATACTCACGGTAGTGTCTTGATTGTGTTAGTTTTTTTTATTTTCTGTCTAAGTGAAGCTCCCTGAATTGATCAGCCTGTTAAAGACCAAACCCCAGATTTTGACTGAAAGGAAAATCTAATATTTTTAATGAAATACATGAGGCGGACATAAGTTGCATCTCGGTGAATGATCTCACAATGTGATGTTCAGGTCATGTTTATTAACAATGCTGTCTATTGTAAATAACATACATATACATTATTCTACATAGGCTATTATGCAGTGATTCCAGACTGTTTATTGGTTTAGATGAAAGCTTTTTATTCCTCAATGCACAACAATTTAGGGAAAGTCTCCCTTCAAAAATGGTCATAAAATAAATGCTGAAAAAAAATCACGCTCTAGAATATGTTTATCCAAAACATATAGTGCAGAGTTAAAATATATGTGAAAAAAAAATATATATAAATTGTGGAATATATTTGTTGACAGGTTACAGTCATTGTAAAATAAAGAAGATGAACTTTAAAAAGGAATGTAGTAAATGTATGCTTAATGAGAAGTAATATATACACGGTATTACATTACATTACATGTTACTTGTCAGACGCTTTTATCCAAAGCGACTTAAATACGGTATGTGTACATACATAATGTATAAGTATTTAAATTTAGAGGGACAGTATCAAAGTCCTGACTTCAAGAGTTCAGCAATCTTATTGCGAGTTGAATAAAGCTGTGTAGGCCTGTTAGTGTGTTACCGTCTACCAGACAGCAGAGGGCAGAAAGTGTATTTCTAGTGTGATAAGGGTCTCTGATAATCCTGTACTGCTGGTTCTAGTGTCCATCATGCATCATTATAACAGGGCAAGTCAGTATTAAATAAAAGGAATACATATTTTGCCTTATACAATAAGTATTTGTCTGATGACTGATTTGTGTAAATATGAGCTGCTAAAATAAACTAATAACGTAAAAAACAGAAAGACATGTCCGCAAACCAGTGATTTGAAATGTGATGTAAATCCTGCAATGCTTGTTTGGCAGGTTAAATAACACAATACACACATAAGAATGAATGAATGTAATCGTCTTGGCTAAAAACACCTTCCTCTGTCTCTGTGTTTTTAGGTGAAGCCACGGACAGGAGTGTGTGTGATGGAACTGAAGATATAAAGATGCTCCAGAGCTCATACACTGACACATCTCAACTTCGAGTCACTAACATGGTGTACAAGGCTGTCTATGCAATAGCGCATGCCATTCATAACGCAGTGTGTCAGAAAACTGATTCTACTACACAGTGGGATAAGTTCACTAAGCTAGAGGCCAAAGAGGTCAGTAAAAATAATGATGTTCCTTTTAAGCTGCACGTCTATGTTATCAAATGAATGCTGATTTTACTTTTATATTATTTATTTTATCCCCTTCACTATCTTCATTTACTTCATCCCTAGGTTCTTAATCAGTTGAAAAAAGGAAATCTTTCCCAAAATGGTTATGATGTGTCATTTGATACCAACGGGGATCCTGTGGCCACATATGAGCTGGTAAACTGGCAAAGAAATGAGAGTGGCAGCATTGAGTTGGTGACTGTGGGGCAATATGATTCATCACTGCCGGTGGGCCAGGAGTTCCTTATCAACAGGAACCTCACCTGGGTGGAGGGTGGCACACAGGTGAGGAGCCCCAAAGCAATAGTTTAACATGTATGATGTCTCATACCTCGGTACCTCATTAGAATTCCAATGTTACGAATAATGAGAGAGTATTTTTAACATGACATTTACGTTTTATTGTTTAAAATACTTTTTTTTTTAACTAAACAGAAATGTAAAAGACACAAAGAAAAACATTGTGAAGAAAAAACATGAATCTATCCTTTTATAATTTTAGCTTCAGAGCACACCTGTCTACATGTGAGTTAATTTGTATATATGTGACAGGTGCCTGTGTCAGTGTGCACTGACAGCTGTCCTTCAGGAACTCGTAAAGTGCTTCAGAAAGGAAAACCCATCTGCTGTTATGACTGTACACCGTGTCCCGAGGGAGAGATTAGCAATGCTACAGGTATTTGTTTTTCTAATGTATATCTACGACATCAAAAATATAAATTCCACCTGCTTAAAGCTCCCATGTCATGGTTTTCCGGTTATTACCCGTCCCCTTGTGTGTTATGAAGGTTTTTATGCATATAAACGGTGTGCAGAGTCAAAACCCTCAAAGTACACCCTGTAGCGAGTAAAACTCTAACACAGAAAATACCTCCCCAAAACGCCTCGTTGGAGATACGTCACTGGCCATTTGAGTCTTCCATTTCGTTCCGGGTACGGCATGATGTCAAGCGGTACCCGGAACGAAATGGACCAATCCCGAAGAGCCGTTACGTTACGTCCGCGGAGCCGTTACGTTAAGCCCCCGCTGATTGGTCCAAATTGACCGATCCACGGACTTCCTCACACACACATCTGTGTGCAGGGAGCAGGCAGCTCAGCTGATTTCTCCTCCCTGGCTGCAGGCTGATAACAGACAGTTGGGATCGCGGCAAAATTCTCTCTGCAGACCCATTCTCACAGCGTTTATCAACCTTTTTCTTACTCAATATCAAGCCACACTTATTGTTTTTACTTCGGATGTGAGTTTGTGTGTGCTCAGGATGAGTTTGGCTGTGTTTCGCTATGTATCCTAAACAAGGAAGCAACACCTCCACGGAGCTCAGCGCGATTCACAACGTCCCGATCAATCAGAGCACACTGTGCTCACAGGGAGGGTGGGGGCTGGAGCTTTTAGAGCTACAACGAGCCGTTAAAGGCAAATAGTGAAATTCAGTGAATACAAGTAGTTTACAGAGATGCTGTATGAGAAACCAATGTGAGTTTGGAAAAATGCACAGTATAAATCTATTTTAGTATACCTCAACAATGGAATTATGATCAGTGGAAATGGCCATGACACCTCTCCTTTAAAGCTTATTTCCTTTTTTTTCAGATTCCTTTGATTGTTTCCCTTGCCCCAAGGAATTCTGGCCTAATGCAGAGAGAGATACGTGTCTTCCCAAACCTGTAGAGTTTCTTTCCTTCAACGAGCCCCTTGGAATCGTCTTGGCTGCTTTTTCAATCGGTGGTGCCTGTCTCACCATTATAACAGCGGCTGTGTTCTATCGTCACAGGAGCTCACCAATTGTCAGGGCCAATATATATAATAATATTCTTATTATTATATTTAAAATATAACCATTTTCAAAGATTGCATCTTTTGGGACACAGCACACCAACTGAAACACATACAATGCTCAGCTGTGAATCAGCCATAAGCATACACACCATTATAACATGCACATTAGCTTTACAATATGATGTAGCTACCAGTAAGTGTTAGGTCTGGGTTTGTTTGGTCTAAAATACATCTGATGTTTCTGAATCATCTAGTCTTAAAAGGCAACAATTAAAAATAAAATGCAATTGTTCAAATGGAATTTCATTAAGTACATTTTGTATCATCCTTTAATGTATATTCTCAAAAGTAACCTGGAATTGTTCCAGTCTTAGTAATAGACACTTAAAAACCTTTCAATACTATTGTTTGAAATTAATTTAATAACTAGAAAATGCATTTCCTGCAGAAAATGCGTGCGAATGCTGTAAACTGTGAACATTTGTGGCTGAATTTAGCTGAAAATGCAGAAAAAGCTGAATATGTTATTAGCTGAATGGTAGCTGCTTTTAGCTACAAAAATGCAGAAAAAGCTTAATATTTAAAAGAATAGGTTTAAAAAAAGGTATAAACAACAACATGTATAGCCTTGATGTCCTGAAATAGCTGAATAATGTAATAGTTGAATGGTTTCTGCAGCTGAAAATAGGCTGAAGGAGTTAAATATCAGATGTAAGTAGTAGTGAATACATTTGTATTAAGATGAGAAAAGAAAGTAAAAAGGCTTGGGAAACCAGCAGAATATTTGAACTGCAAACTTTTGAACTAACTTGATGGTGAATTATCTGTCGCCATGGCAACGGCATTTGATGACACCCCGTAATACGCTTAGATGTGTTGATGGCTGCATCGTTACCAAACCTGTGAAGTTTTGGGCCATTTTGAGCATTTTCACTGTAGTTATGAGAAAACCGTGTTTCATGGTGAGCATTGTGTTGCCATGGCAACGGCAATTGAAGAAATCTCAAAACTGTCCCGTAGATGTCTTCACGGCTGGACTGTTAGCACACATGTGAAGTTTGAGCACTTTTTGAACATTTTCATAGGAGTTATACATTACTTTTGGAGGTTACATTACTCTCTCTCTTCTCTTGATCGCCCTCTATCTCTCCTCTTGATCGCACTCTCTCTCTTCTCTTGATCGCCCTCTTTCTCTTCTCTTGATCACCCTCTCACTCTTCTATCACCCTCTCTCTCTTCTCTTGATCGCCCTCTCTCTCTTCTCTTGATCGCCCTCTATCTCTCCTCTTGATCGCAATCTCTCTTCTCTTGATCACCCTCTCTCTCTTCTCTTGATGACCCTCTCACTCTTCTATCACCCTCTCTCTCTTCTCTTGATCGCCCTCTCACTCTTCTCTTGATCGCCCTCTCTCTCTTCTCTTGATCACCCTCTCACTCTTCTATCACCCTCTCTCTCTTCTATCACCCTCTCTCTCTTCTCTTGATCGCCCTCTATCTTCTCTTGATCGCCCTCTCACTCTTCTCTTGATCGCCCTCTCTCTCTTCTCTTGATCACCCTCTCACTCTTCTATCACCCTCTCTCTCTTCTATCACCCTCTCTCTCTTTTCTTGATCGCTCTCTCTCTCTTCTCTTGATCGCCCTCTCTCTCTTCTCTTGATCGCCCTCTCTCTCTTCTCTTGATCATTCATCATCATCGGTGTGTGTCTGTGTGAGAGAGAGAGAGAGTGTGTGTGTGTGTTTGTGTGTGTGTGTGTGTGTCTGTGTGTGAGAGAGAGAGAGAGTGTGTGTGGTGTGTGTGTGTGTGTGTGTGTGTGTGTGTGTGTGTGTGTGTGTGTGTGTGTGTGTGTGTGTGTGTGTGTGTGTGTGTGTGTGTTAATTGTTACAGCTCAAATGCTTTGCAATGACTTCCATGTTAAAAAAAAGACTTTAAAAAGCTGAATGTTTTAAAAAGTATAACATATTTTGAAAAAGTTGAAAGTTTCCCATCATGTGCTGAAAAGGCTGAATAGTTTGATATTTGAATGGTTCCTGCAGCTGAAATTAGGCTGAAGGAGTTAAATAAAGATATTAAATGTAAGTAGTAGTGAATGAATGTTTACAAACACCTGTGTGTGTAAACCCAGAGATCAAAGGTTACCATGGTGACGACTTATGACGATTTACCAACTGCAGCACTGAGTCCCATTAAGAATGCATTGAGGATTATATCTGACAATTTTGCCACCTGTTCAAAAACTATGGCTCCTATACAAAAATTACCAGACCGTGAGCATCAGGGAACCCCAATGAACTGATATATGTTTGTTTTTTTGGTTTTGTGTCTAAAATGTGGAGATGGGAGCAGTTTGTCTAAAGTGTACTTCTCAAACAGCATTCGCACTAATAAAGATTTCAAGTACTATAGTGGAATGCTGTAAACAGCATTCACACTAATTCACACTTTTTTGAACATGGAAGTCAATGGGACGACTCTTCAAATCCTCTTTTCCTACACCTTACGCCAAATGCTTCTCCTTCCACATACTTTCAGCTAGAGTCTTCATTCCAACTTTAAAATGATCACAAGACCTTCAGCTATACAACTCGTTATCCAGATTCTTCATATCTTTTACACTTTTTGAGATATTTAACTTAGTTTGGAGCTTGGTAAATAGGCTTTCTTCAGATTTTAACATTAGTGTGTATTGCGCAGCTCGTTAATTCTAGAGTGCTTTGATCTCAAAACAGAGTGCAGCAGTGCTTGAAATTATACCAAAACAAATGTTTTAAACCTGCCATAATTCCCAAACCCTACACTCCTCAGACATAATTTTTCATGAAAAACGTAGGAAAACCACTCCTAGGTTGGAAAATTAAATTAAATTAAGAAAAAATATAAATGCCTCTTGAGGGCATAAAGAGACAAAAAGTCCACCTAGCTCCCAATTGATTCCCATGTTAAATTTTTCCGGAACTTTCTTCAGAACAGAGAGAAGTACACTTTAGACAAACTGCTCCCATCTCCACATTTTACACACAAAACCAAAAAAACAAACATAAATCAGTTCATTGGGGTTCCCTGATGCTCACGGTCTGGTAATTTATGTATAGGAGCCATCGTTTTTGAACAGGTGGCAAAATTGTCAGATATAATCCTCAATGCATTCTTAATGGGACTCAGTGCTGCAGTTGGTAAATCGTCATAAATCGTCACCATGGTAACCTTTGATCTCTGGGTTTACACACACAGGTGTTTGTAAACATTCATTCACTACTACTTACATTTAATATCTTTATTTAACTCCTTCAGCCTAATTTCAGCTGCAGGAACCATTCAAATATCAAACTATTCAGCCTTTTCAGCACATGATGGGAAAACAACCTCTGTTAAAGGGGCAATTTATGAAAACTATAAAGGTGCTACTGAAAAGCCTTCACTGGTTCAGAGGATCTGCACAGCACAACAAACAGCATTGTTCTGAAACCACTAAGCAATAGTCACAATAATCTCAGCCAAGATTTTAGCTTTAAAAAAAACAAAACCATAAAGCTTTAAAAGATGGGGAACAATGAGCAAAACAAGATTATTTCTAATCATCCACCCACCTCCTTTTCTGAAAATCAAATACTGAACCTAAAAAAAATATAAAACATGTACAGTATATTGGCCATTGAATGACATGTCTGGCTTGACAGGGCCAGTTCTGCTGTGATGGCTTTAGATAAGGGTATTTGGGCATCCATCCAAACAGCATGACTGATGATTATTTGAAGAAAAGTTACATATAAAATATAGAATAGAAGAAATACATCTTGTCAGCGCTGGGCATGGCAGCGCAGTGACGTATGGTAGAAGGAGGGAAGCATAGTCTGGAAATCTTTATAAACCATTGAGAACACACAGTATAGTTTGCCACCTTGACGACAGTTGATGATGGAGATGTCTCTTATTGGTCTGATACTGTCTATAAGTTTGTGTGAGCTGAAGTCAGTTCTTGTTCTGAATAGTTATGGGGATGGCTCTGAAGCTTCATCTGTTACATGTAAGCTACAAGGTACCACTCGTCAACCTGCATTCTCTATGGACGGTGACTATGTCATTGGGGGTGTTTTCTCCATTCACTATTACATGCACACAGTGAAGCATAACTACACCACCATGCCCGAGCCACTAAGCTGCACAGGGAGGTTAGTACAGGGAGATTTTGGCTAGACTGTGGGGATATACAGTATATTGATGTTTATATTGTGAATTTGTGTTGCCATGTAGTTGTATGTAACAAAATGTGGATTTGTTTTCTCTTTCATAAAAATGTATAGTTTAACTGATTTATATACATTTCACAATTTTTAAAGAGAGATATGTGTAATTTAGGATTAAATTGACCATTGAAACAATTCAGCCAAGTTATTGTGAATTTTGGATATCAAGTGTTTGGGATTTTGACACATGTTTATTTTATGTGTATTTAATTGGTTCACATAAAGCCTAAAGAGAAGCTGTTCGTTATTATCCAGACCATATATTTGAATTGCAGTAATCTTGTAGTCTATCACGTATTATTTAAAAATCTTAAAGTTTTAACATTAACACCGATGTCTGTGTGCAGTATCGACTCCCGTGAACTGCGCTTCTCTCGTGCAATGGTCTTTGCCATCGAGCAGATTAACAACAGCACAGAGCTGCTTCCGGGGATCAAGCTTGGTTATGAGATCTACGACTCATGTGCCTCGGTGTCCGTGGCGGTGCATGTTGCATTTCAGCTTTCAGGGCGACTGGACCCGGTGTTTAACACCGGCGACAAATGCTCGCAGTCTGGTATGGTGATGGCCGTCGTTGGTGAGTCTGGGTCCACGCCTTCCATCAGTATGTTGCGCGTCATCGGGC